GCATTCAGTTTCTTCATTTATTAAATGGGGATAATATGTCAGCCTTACCTCTCTGAGCTGTGGTAATTAAATAAGACAATATGATTGAAAGTGGAATATAAACATGAGTATTATATATAGGCAGAGGATTATTGATCCATTCCACTTACTGCATGCACAACAGTGAGTGGCACTGAGGGAAATCAAGGATGAAGAAGACAGCAGGGATCATAAACCTTCCAGGTTGCAATCTAGTAGTGGAATGATTCACACAGGAGTGTGATTCAACAAGTTCCTGTGGAAGCGTCAAAGCCAAAAACTAAGAATCCCTTCCCTGAAGTGGATTAAGACATGTATCCTTGGGAAGAAGGGAAGTGCTTGGGCATAACTTGTTGGCCCTGAGGAGCTGTAACAAGCCACAGCTGGCCAAATGCATGAGCATCCAGACACTGTAGAACTGTCACTGTAGAGTTCTCAGTTTCGGCAGCTGCACATGGGAATCGCCTGGAGAGCTTTAGAACGAACACACACACACACACACACACACACACACACACACACACACACGAATGTATGAGCCCCTAGCCCAGAGATTCTGATTCTCTTGGTCTGGGTCAGAGTCTGAGCATCAGTGTTTTCAGAAGCTACCCCCATAATCCTTGTGTGGAGCCAGATTTGAGAACCACTGGTGAAGGAGAAGGTAAAATGCTGGAAGACTCCTCTTCTGAGGAGTGTCCACTAACCACAAAGCAGTGTGGCCAAGAGCTAGTTCCATGGCCTGTGGGGTCACCCAGACCTGGGTGTGGGTCCTAGGATGGCCATTTACTACATAACTTTTGGCAAGTTATTTGACTTCTCTGAATCTCAGTTTCTTCCATCTGCAAAAAAAAGGTGATACAAATGGTGCTAACCTCAACAAGCTGTTGGGAAGTTTAAATGTGTTCAAATGTGCAAGGGGCAAGCCTGGTGCTTTAGTCCTTGGTTCCCAACAGCATTTAAATTTGCAATAGATCTGAAGGGTTAGCTGCCCTGTGTGAGTCTACCACAGAGCTGGGCTCACCTGAGGGCATTTAGCAGCCCCTCCACACTGTCTGGGGCCTGTTCCTTCAAAACCTTTATGCAGCCTTTCATCTAGGAGGAGAAAGCACAATGTTTTGTTAATATCTTAGTATTTTTGTCCATAATAATAGCACATTATTTCTGCCCATAAGAATCAAACACGGAAATGACTGACAGGCTTTCCTACCCCTCAGGCTGGTGAGTTGCTCCTCTAGGCTTCTAGAGGGTTCTGTATGATCACAATCACTATCAATTTTCATACNAGTTGCTCCTCTAGGCTTCTAGAGGGTTCTGTATGATCACAATCACTATCAATTTTCATACCATACTGCAGTTGTACATTTTATTTGCCTCGCATTTGGATATAAAGACAGGAGTACTTGGAGCGAAGTGCAGGGCTTTCCCTCTACTCAGTGCTCAGTTGAGATTTGCTGAATGTATTATAAACTCAATAATTTTTTGCCATCCTTCTGCCCAGAATGCTTTTCTACCTTTATTTGGCTGGAAATCCCTTAAAAAATTTTTTAGCACTCAGATGAAGATCACCAACTCTAGGAAGCCTCTTCCAACCTCACTACCCTCGCCAGGTAGAAGTAACCACAACTTTGTTGTGTTCCCAATATTACTCCGGCATTTATAAGAGAACTTTGGAGAGTTTAGCGCCAGATTAATTTGCCCCCTCACTAGACCAGGAGCTTATGGGGGTACAGGTCTATATCTTAATCATTTTTGAGAATATCGGTAAAGGGCAATTTTTAAGAATGCAAACTTCATAGAGACCTAATGCTTGGCTTTAATCCATGCTTGCTTGTTTAGTATGTGCAAGAACCTAGGAAAGTTTCTCAGCCTTTTGTGCACTTGGAATACAATTTACTTATAATTTAGAAGGTGCATAAAAACTAAATTCATATAGATTACAAATGTATTATGCACAGCATGGAGCAATTTTGGCAAAGCAAGAATCCTTCCACAAAGAAGAGACACTCATTTTAAACTCAGATGTTCATGCGCTGTATTGTATTTGGTTATACTGAAGGCCTGTTTTATAAAGGTCACTTATGTAAACATTTTCTGTGGGTTTTCTTCTGGTATATTAAAAGTTTTATCTTAAAGGCCTAATAGACCCTCATAGATTTATGGAAGCAGCTAGGGCACAGGATTGAGAATCATTTGGGGGTTCTATATAGGTTCACAACAGAAGACGTCACAGTCAATTAGAGATGTCTGTCATGGGTGCAGGATTGGCAGAGGCTACAAGGAGGCCAGGTATGTCCCATCCTGGTCCTGGGATGGCATCAGGGCTAGGGATGCAGAGATTCGGTCTTCCTCTCAGTAGAGTTCATGGTCTGGTGGGAGGAGAGAGACAGATAGCTCACTAGCACAGTGCGATGAGAGTTCTTGTAAAACTGGTCCAGGGGCACTGAGGAATAGATGTAAAAGGGGGTAGAAGAAGAGTGGGTGCTCGTAGGGAATTTCTAGTTCCACTTCAGGACCATGAAAGCGTGGGTGTGAATAACAAGTCAGGGCCGGATCCAGGGTGGGCTTAACAGCATGCTGGGGAGGTGGGGTCATTTACCTGTAGAAAAAACCCTTGACAGGTGTTAAACAATCTACTAGTGTGGTTAGTATGGAAGGAACCAGAAGGAGGCAAGAATGGAGAGAAGAGGACCAGTGAGAGCCCTGAGGGTGTGAAGGGTGGGAGCAGTGGTGGGTACGGAGCAGCGGGGAGGGACGGGGCGGCCTGGTAAGATATGGGGGTGACAAAGACAGTTCCTAGGTGCCCAGGGACAGTTCTAGGTTTCTGGCTTAGAGCCTGGGTGGGAGGATGGTGAAATACCTCCTAGGAGGGGAACCCAGGAGAAGGAACAGGTTTGTAGGGAAAGGAGAACCTTTGGTTTTGGGCTGGCCATGATTCAGGTATCCATAGGAAGTGGGGTCTGGAATTCTAGGTGAAGTCTGGGCTGGGGACATGGGGTCAAGGACTGATTCCTTATTGGGTCATTTCATAAGATTCTAAGGAAATCATTTGAAAATACCATCTCACCCCAACCCTCCCTTCCTGGCACCCAAGATTAGCGTCTATTCTCTAAATGGATTGTACCCCTCTGGGCCTGGTGGCTTTGCTCTGATGATTCCCTCTTCCTGGAGTACTCACTTCCCTTTGTCCATTTTGTTAAGTCCTACACCTTCTTCAAGTCCACCTCTAACGTCACCCACTGTTTCTACCCATCAGCAAAATGAGTTTCTCCCTCGCCTGCATTTCCAGAGCTCACTGCACATCTGTTCTGCTCTCCAGGGCCTGCCCTTTGTAAGTGCACGTGCAGTACCTCTTCCAGGGCCCCATGGTTGATGTTGATTTCATAAGGATTTATAGACCTAGTGCCTATAAATGCTTGCTTAGAAGCAGACTGGTATCTGGAAGAAAATGGTCCATCTTGAATATGTGCAGTGCTTCGTAAGCATGCAACTTTCTTAGAGGTGCATGCAAACTTCAGTGTGAACAAACCTTTCTTAGCGAGCCCTGCATGAACAAAGAGACTTCATCAAGACTATATGCGAAGATTTAACTATACACATTGCTTACAACTGCAATAGAAAGACTCAGTAAATGACATGTAAAGCCAAGCTTTTAAAGGTTAAGGCTACAAGGCATAATTGTACCCAGTGCATTTTTAATTGTTGACTCTGTGACAAGCTAACAAATAGCTACGGTAAATGAGAATGTCTTACCAGGTAATAAAATCAATCCATATTCATATGGTTTTTATAGAGTTATTCATAAAGTACTCAATCTATAGTAAGAAAATGTTAACTCCTCACAAAGAACACAGTAAAAAAAATATTGATATGACCAATGTTCATAATATACTATTATGCAAATAAAAACGTTTTAAAATAGCAT